GGAAAGATGATATGTGACGGATTATGATTTAACTTCAGATTATGATACACGTATCTCATTTCTAATTACCGTATATGCTACACGCCACTGATAAGGTACTCGATCGAAAATTGCTATTCCACGGAGAATGCATTGACTGGCGGTTGTTCTACATAAATCGTAGTTCTAATTATGGTATGGTGTAAATTTGATCGCGTTCTAATGTGCTTTGGCCGATGCCGTAACCACAGGCCCTATGACGTCAACTTTATAGGGATCAGCATGGAAGTACACTTCATAATTGAACATCTTTTTTCTGGAGGGATTTTAGCCTCGCTCCACCAACTAAAACAGAGTTCCAAACTTTACGTGGTTCATAGACTACAAGAACTGCCTTAAAGCGACTGACATGAATATGGTGCATATCAGATTTCGAGATGTACGATAAGGTCAACTGAGAAAATTTTGTATCCAATGCATCTACTTTATCAAGCACCTACAATCTGACCACTATTCAAATGAGTGGCTGAGAAGATTTTCTTTTTAAAGATCAAGCTAGGTGAAGTGGTTCCTGCTGATGAGGATTGCAACCTCTTCTGGTCTCAGCTAAAGTTTAAAGAGGTACAGATCCGCTGTATATGTTGCTGTGAAGCCGAAAGATGCGCAACTATGTGCATGCAATAGTATGACAGGCGAGTAAAACGTCATGAATTTTAGACCGATTGGTCCGAAAAACATTATAGATAGATCTGATAAAAGACGCTTAGAACATACAGAGTTCGCAAAAGCCATGAAAGGATTTCACGTTTAATGCAGTTACTTCCAAAATCTTTTGATGAACACTTTAAAAACTGACAAGCTTGTAAAGCCACTTGTCCTAATTAGGAGTTCATGTTGTTGGGCAGCTAGGATGGGCCTAAGTATATTTTGGTCATGAACCTTAACTTTCGTTTGAAGATGGATTGTCAACCCTTTCTGGAGTTTAGCATCCAAATATTTTATGCCAAATTGCGTCACTTATTGCAGCCTTTTAGCGGAGAATTTTCATTAAAATTTCGAATGCACTAGTAACAAAAACAACGTATCCGCGCACCGCATTGTGTTTTCCGATACCATTATATTAGTTCTTATTGAATACAAGGAATCCAAATTTTGTATAAGCAAACAGGTAGAAACCCAGTGCGACGCTGTGTGTTCATTGGTGGTTAATTATCTCTACGTCCAACCAACTGTCATGATCATGAGTCAAAGAACAACTCTCAAGTGCCCCCTTAAATATAAGATTTTAGTTTGTATCTGCTCACTAAGGAAAATTTGTAAAGTAAAACATGGGAACGTAAAAATCCATGTTTATGAAATTGAATCTGCTTATTTTGTGTTTTGCATACCAGTGATTATAGTAGATTTTAGTGGCTGGCCAGAGCATGAACATCAGAGTCTATCAGATTCAGTATAAGTCAAACGTAGAAAGCACTATGAAAATGTTTTACCTCTCCTCGGAAAAATTTCATAAGATACATGATTTTTATAAGGGTTTTTTAAGAGAAAATTCGAATATAAATTGTCTTTCCCATTAGAACGGATTTAAAACCAAGTTCAAAAGGCAAGTCGTTTTAATACTACCAATTAAGTTTTCTCAGCCCTTACTTTAAGTTTGAAATGATGTTTAACAGATTAACTGACCTGGTGAGTCGTCTCTGCAGTTGAAATCCTGAGAATGCCTGCTGTGGGATTAGTGACGGAAGAGAGTGATTTGGAAGAAGACGAAGAAGATGAAAGACACCTAGCGGAGCTGACTGAGCGCATTAGCCCCTGTTGTTCGCTAGCCTCTAAGCCGCTTTTTGCCAATTTTGAAGAAGTTGCTGGATCACTAGTGAGGAAAACTCCGAGTGTTCCCGTTGACCGAAAGGGGCTTCTTAGAAAGATGCTGCGAAAGTTCGAAAAACAGGAAGGCACTCGATCTGGAGAGTCGGCCTCCAGTACGCTGCTTTTTCCCATGCTATGCGTTGACTGGCCTCTTCGTGTCATTTCGCAGACCGATGGCAGCCTCTGCGCCACGTCTGCACACTCCGTGGCCAGCCAGTCAGCTGTCGAAAACTAGCATGCCTGTAGCAATATGGAGATTTTACTCATCAGGCTATTTGATTGGAAACTGAAGACTGGTAAATATGTGGATTCGATTTTAAAGACGTAGCTTCATTTTAGCACAAAACGTATGGTGCGTACTTCAAGTGATGGATATTGTTTTGTCATAAATTCAGAATAACACTAGCATTGCCACATTAAGCAAAAGCGAAAATGTGACACAAAAGATAGATACAGCGAAGATGACTCTTCTGACCAAATCAAACTATTTTCTGGAAATCTTATGAAGACGGACTCATAGAATAACTCTGAGACCTCATTACAGACTATGATAAAGAGACTGAAGTAACCCTAAAATCGGAATGGCATGTCCCAAATAGAATTTTTAGGGTTACTGTTAAGGCAAACCCGATTGGCCTCAAACTCGGAAGTATCTAAAAATGGCGTTAGACCCACATGAGCAAAAGTCCGAGGTTTTTCTCGATTGTTTTGACAGCAAATGTTAATTTCGCTTAGATCGGCTTTAAGAAATGCTTTTGAAACTGAACACAGCAATAAAATCTCAAGATACCGTCAATTAAACCTATGCATGATACAAATAGAACGAAACTCCTACTGTCTGTGCCATAGAGGACGCAGCTAGAAATGTCATAAAGTTACCGTTTGCTGGAAAAAAATGACTGTCGACAGCGTTTTGAGGGCATTGAACAAGAAAATATTTCTTCTAGTTCCCGTAAGGCCTTAAGTCAATATGGTGTAAAACGTTGGCATTTGCCAGTTTATATACTATATGCATATGTGAATATGACTAAAATAGCAATTATTTTTTAAGTTAGCTACATTTCAGGAAAAAAGTAACTGATTGTTTACTTTTATCCGAGTGTCAATTAAATTTTTTTTATTAATGACAGACCATACTTATGGTCAGTCGATAGCTCATTGTGATTTTTTATTCTTGGAAAATTTTATAGAAAGGAAAATCGTCAGTATATCTACCAGAATATATTCTGCCTGTCGTTAGAAAATCTAAGAAGTAAAATTAATTTATAGTTATGGTAGATAATTGATTGTATTAAAGATCATTCAGGATTTCCTCAAATGTTGGTTGATGTACTTTAGAATGCTATACTCCCTTCGGATAAATTAATGATAATTCTCCTACTATATGCTATCTAGAGTAAAGGGGAAGAAGAACTAGATATAGTCCGCGCATAAACCCCTTTTTATAATTGTTTTAAAAATAAGAAAACAGCGTACTTAAATACACTGACAGCATTTTACTTTGGTTATAATAAGTACATTTATTTGAATGATCATTCATGCACCGGGGGGAGAGAGAGAGCGCGCGCGTTCGGTGCGTACGTTTGCGTGGGGACACAGAATGGCCTGGTAGAGGATTATTGGACTTCGTAAAAAACTCTGGAAGAGTTCTCTAGAGAATTGCCACTGGGGGATAATATTAAAATAAAATAAAGACGGTTTTGCCACTGCAAAAAGAAATATAACAATTAATTTCCTCTTAGTTTTAATAAACTTATGAAACAATAAATTTTCATTGTATTTTTATAACTCCATTGAACTGAATAATCCTACGTTTTGGATACTTGACCTATGCATAAAAACGCCGAAAAAATTGCTCGCCAACCAAGAGTTTCGACGCGCCCTTCAAAACGTTTAATTAAGTTTAACCTCAGTCTTTATTTTCTTGGAAGTACTTACTTACTTATTACGTTTAGTACATTTTTGGACACTGGAAAAAGTACACGCTTGAAACCCGTAATTGTGGCGTAGTATTCCGTACTACTCGTGGCCTTGGGGTTAATTTATGGATTGAAGAAGTTAAGTAAAACAAGGACATATTTGGGTAGATTTCCCTTCATTCATCTTAAATCTTTGCATGTTTTTCACGTTTTAATCTCAATATGATCGTAAGTAAACAAGCGCTTGATTGCCCATACAGTCATTAGGTAATATTACAGACGGAGCATTGATCTCGAATGAAATAATCAAAGCATTGAGAGAGGCGAGAAGTTTGGCTAAACAGATACGTAACCGACGTTGACCTAGAGGATATTTTATCACAACACATGTGCGTGCACACGATTTTTATATTAGCAGAATTTGATCTCCAGTTCGGAATTCGACAACGATGGGGTCATAAATCGCTATCGTGGGCATTTATCCTTATTGGTTAAAGTCTCACTTATGTAAGTTCCATTACCAGCCATCGATTGATGCCTCTCTGAAAATGGAAAAAAAACAGACACAGCGATCTTTATTGACGAAATTCGTTCACCAAGGTCAGTCTTCCCGGTCGTTTTTTGTCATTTTCTACAAGTTATCTACCTTCACTCATTCACATTAACACTGTGTCTTCAATAATATCATTTCTAAACGATGGCTACGTCACTGATCCGCAGATAACTTGTTGGATCGATTTTGGGATTCCTATGTTTATGCGTGAAAATTTCGTATTCGTAATTTAACAAAAAGACATTTCGTTGTTATGTTACTCAGCATGAAAGGAACGAACCAGTGTGGCTTGTCATCATTGTTTCTAATTAAAACGCACCCCAACCCATACAATCGATTACTCAGGTACAGGTTCCTCACACAGGTGGTTCAGTCCCACGATTTTTATCGCTGATAAGAGACTGTCATACGCACACTCAATAAACATGCAGCTCTTTGTGTACTGCTTAATGGATGTCTGGCTGTGACCCACAAGCAAACTACGAAATTTCTGCAATCTGTCGTGTAGAACGAATAAAATAATTTTACTGGGTCTTTGGGTTTTGTCATAAGGTAAACCTAATTCAGTCATATGAGTAGAAGACGGTACAGCGTTTTCTGGAATCGGTCGCTCATTTGGTCGAAGTGTCAAACTCTCATGCGAACCCATTATGCGGCTTTAATTCATTTGATAGCACTAATCGATTCAAGAAGAATGGACAGCATTAACCGAATGAATTTATAGACATAGAGCGCGCACTTTCACCGGAATAGGGAAACACTTATCCAAAAACCGCGGTGGCAAGTGAGCAAAAATATATCTAACCACTAGCACCAACCAGTCGACCGCAACCACTACATACACCATAGCTCCTATCTTCACCGCTGCCCCCGATCCCCAACATCATTCTCCTTGCCGTAGCTCTAGCGCTGATCACAGTGAACGGATCCGCCAACACCACCACTTTTCCCCCCCCCAACACCGCTGAGACCAGT